TTTCTTTCTTTCTTTCTTTCTTTATTCTTTCTTTTTCTGTCTCTCTTTCTTTCTTTCTTTCGAGTTTTCCGCAGGCCTATCTTCAGAGGTAGAGATAGCAGTCACCCCAGGGATGTTCTGTGTATGTCTAACCACACGGTTAGTCTTTCACAGCTGTCTGACTCCAACTTCAGTCAGGTAGCTCACCTTCTCACCTTCCTTCTTCTGTGGCCCCTTTCTGCCCTTAATTATTGGCTTAACCCATTCCAATGCTCTATGAAAGTGCTTAATAGAGTACCTGGTGCACTCAGTGAATGTTAGTTTCTCTTATTAAAATCTCTAATACCATCATTAACTGCTTTTTTATCCCATAATGAACCCCATTGTCAATCTTGCCTCTTAGAAGTTTCCTAAACTTGTCCTTAGCTCTAGCCCTTGCTCAGAAAGAATTTTATTGATAGGCCCATTCCTGCATTGAAGTGGAGTTCTCCTGAGCTTCAAAGAGAAGCTCTATTCTCTCCAGTTCTGAGAAGCCCTGGGGGCACAGGGAGGGCCTCTTCTCCCCATTTCCCTTCCCCTTCCTAATCCTTCAGTGCCATCTGCCCTGACATTTATCTGCATTGTTTTCACCCTTTGTCTCTCTTCATGTCAGCCTGAGGGAGTCCTTGTGGAGAAGACATACAGTTCATTGCTTTGCCCAAAAGGTGGGTGAATGCAGAGAGGGGTTGGTGCTGAGAATTCCTGTCAGCGACAGGAGATTTTTGTAGGCCAAGGGAGGAATACATAGGACAAGAAGGGATAGGAGAGAGTCTGGGGTGCTATCCCCTAATAGGGCCAATTAGCTGAGAGACAGGATGAAGAATAAAAAATGTACAACACAATTATGGGTTTTTTGGGAATTTATTTTCAGCAGAGAACACTATGAACAGATTAAAAAAAATTGCCTCCAACCCACAGAAAGCACTGGGTACAGAAAACCCTGGATTATAGAAAGTTTTTCTATGGTTTGGACTTGAACTCGCACTATGTCCACCTTCTCTACTTTCTCCTTTTCTCTGCCTCTCACAGGACAAGTGGCTTCAGAATCCATCTCCTTAGAGCTCCCTGTGGATGTTGTTCCTGATTCAAGCAAGGCTTATGTTATGGTTCTGGGTAAATAGCCAGAGATTCTTGCTCAAAAGAAAAAAAAAAATGGGGCTGAAATCTGCCAAAACATGGAGTGGGTTGGGGCCTATGGACCTATCTGAAGGAAGGCATGTTAGATTAGAAGTGACAGAAGAGCTTATTTTATACAGTCGGCAAATACACCCTATAGGTAACAGTACATGTAGAATTAGATGTATATGATAGTTAAAAACAGGAGTCTGGACAGGAGGAAGTTAAAGGTCAGCAAAGCTTCATACGTATTTAGGTTCAGGTGGTCTATAAATTGAGTGGAGGAGAAACACAGTGTTTGTAGCAGCCATTTAAAAAAATGAGGAATTTATGTATTTGAGTATAGTTAGGGAAGATAAAACCATATTTACACAGATGGGACACTTCACTCCTCTGGGCAAGGAGAGGGATTGAGTAGAAAAGCCTGAGCTTGAAAATCATACCAAATTGGGTTAGGATCCAAGTTGTGCCATTTAATAGCCACGTGACCATTAATAAATAAGTGAACAATTCTGATCCTTTTTTCCCCTCTTCTGCAAGACACTAATGATAACCTACCTCTCAGGATTGGTGTAAAAATTAAATATAAAGTTTCCACCATAATATCTAGCAGATAGTAGGAGCCCTGGACGAGTTAGATTATTTCTTTATTCTTATCCCCTACCAAGATCCCTTCCAGGTTAAAATTTCTCTATTTGGACTGTATTTGATTCATACTTGTTGTATATCACTCATCTTATTGTAGTATAGCTCACTGTCTATGTCTGTCTTTCACACTGCCTTGTGGGCTCCTTGAGGATAAGGGCCATGTCTTTTACTTTGTCTTTTACTATTGATAGTTCCTGCCAAATAGTTGACCTTCAGTGCCTATTTATAGATTTGAGTTGAACTTGAACTTGAACCTGAACTGCCTTAGGTAGCCTATGTACCTCTCTATGTACTCTAGCACCTTGTACGAACCTAGTATTATAGTGCTATATTGTAATTGTTTATAATGAGTTTTACTTGCAATGTTCTGTCATTGGTTCCCCCTCTGATTATGATCCTTTGAGGTAAAGACTGTATTTGACTTATTGTCTCCCAGGCACAATGTGGGTACTCAACTAAATGGTCGCTGATACATGTTTGTTAAATGAATGCCAGTAACTCACAAGGGCTCCTTCTCTCTACCATCACTTTCTCTCTCCTTTTGGATCTCAGGAGACATTATGGGCACAGCCCTACAGAACCTAGACAATCTGGTACAGATGCCAAACGGCTGTGGGGAGCAGAACATGGTCTTGTTTGCTCCCATAATCTACGTCTTGCAGTACCTGGAGGAGGCAAGGCTGCTGACTGAGGAAATCAGGTCTCGGGCAGTGGGTTTCCTGAAGCTAGGTGAGTCGGTTCAATCTTTTCTTCTTGGACACGTTGTCTAGGGCCTAATGATGGTTTAATAAGATACAGGACGATTCCCCCTGAAGTGTCCCGCACCCTTGAAAGCCTTGAAAGCATGTGTTTTGAAGTTGTCCCTGTGATCTAACATCGTATCTGGCTTCCCAGGGTACCAGAAGGAGCTAATGTACAAACACAGCGATGGCTCATACAGTGCCTTTGGGGAGCAGGATGGAGATGGAAACACATGGTAATACTGCCCAGGTGTCAGTGTACCCCAGAGCACAATTCCTGGGCCTATGAAACTATTCCTCTACCTCTCCTCTTAACCCCATTCCTTCTTATATCCACTCTCTCTACCTCTTTAATATTGTTTATTTCAGCCTCACGTATGGTCAAGCCCCTCACCCATGGTCAAGCCCCTCACCCTTCTCCCTGACTTTGTGCTTCCCTAGTTCTTTTCCCCATTAATGCCCATTAATACCTCCCTTTTCTAGGCTTCTACGGCATTATATTTCCTTATTCCCCTTCTGGAACCTTATACCAAAATAAACTAATAGCACTATTGTACCCTTGCTGGGAAATCCCCCTTCATGCCACACTTCCTTCTTTACCCACATAGGCTGACAGCGTTTGTCACCAAATGCTTTGGCCAAGCTCAAGAATTCATCTTCATTGATGACAGTAATATCCAGGATGCTCTCAAGTGGATGGCCATAAACCAGCTCCCCAGTGGTTGCTACGCCAATGTGGGAAGGCTCATTCACACAGCTATGAAGGTGCAAATCTGCTCCCGGGCCTTCAGCTCACTACCATGTCTGGGAGGAATTTGCACCTCTGAGCAGAATGAAAAAAGCATAAGCCTGGGAGTCAGTGTTCTTCAGGTCTCAGGCCTGGCTTCGGATGACCTTGGTCACCATACTTAACCAGTCTGAGCCTCAGCTTCCATGTCTGTAGAATGGGAATGTGTACTGGCACATGGTTCTCATGGTACCGTCCTCAGATCAGCAGCGTTAACAGCGCCTGAGAACTTGTTTCAAATGCAAATTCCAGTCCTACCCCAGACCTACTCTGAGAAACTCTGGGAGTGTGGGCCAGCAATTTGTATTTTTTTTAATTTAATTTTATTTTTTTAATTTTTTTAAAGATTTTATTTATTTATTTGAGAGAGAGAGAGCAG